CCCAGGGCTCTGAGCTTAATGATGAGCTTGGATGGTACTATGGTGTTGAAGGCTGAGCTATAGTCAATGAATAGCATTCTTACATAGGTACAGTGAGGGAAAAAAGTATTTGATCCCCTGCTGATTTTGTACGTTTGCCCACTGACAAAGAAATGATCAGTCTATAATTTTAATGGTAGGTTTATTTGAACAGTGAGAGACAGAATAACAACAAAATAATCCAGAAAAACGCATGTCAAAAATGTTATAAATTGATTTGCATTTTAATGAAGGAAATAAGTATTTGACCCCCTCTCAATCAGACAGATTTCTGGCTCCCAGGTGTGTTTTATACAGGTAACGAGCTGAGATTAGGAGCACACTCTTAAAGGGAGTGCTCCTAATCTCAGCTTGTTACCTGTATAAAAGACGCCTGTCCACAGAAGCAATTAATCAATCAGATTCCAAACTCTCCACCATGGCCAAGACCAAAGAGCTCTCCAAGGATGTCAGGGACAAGATTGTAGACCTACACAAGGCTGGAATGGGCTACAAGACCATCGCCAAGCAGCTTGGTGAGAAGGTGACAACAGTTGGTGCGATTATTCGCAAATAGAAGAAACACAAAATAACTGTCAATCTCCCTCGGCCTGGGGCTCCATGCAAGATCTCACCTCGTGGAGTTGCAATGATCATGAGAACGGTGAGGAGTCAGCCCAGAACTACACAGGAGGATCTTGTCAATGATCTCAAGGCAGCTGGGACCATAGTCACCAAGAAAACAATTGGTAACACACTACGCCGTGAAGGACTTAAATCCTGCAGCGCCCCCGCAAGGTCCCCCTGCTCAAGAAAGCATATATACAGGCCTGTCTGAAGTTTGCCAATGAACATCTGAATGATTCAGAGGAGAACTGGGTGAAAGTGTTGTGGTCAGATGAGACCAAAATCGAGCTCTTTGGCATCAACTCAAGGAGGAGTTTGGAGGAGGAGGAATGCTGCCTATGACCCCAAGAACACCATCCCCACCGTCAAACATGGAGGTGGAAACTTTATGCTTTGGGGGTGTTTTTCTGCTAAGGGGACAAGACAACTTCACTGCATCAAAGAGACGATGGATGGGGCCATGTACCGTCAAATCTTGGGTGAGAACCTCCTTCCCTCAGCCAGGGCATTGAAAATGGGTCGTGGAGGGGTATTCCAGCATGACAATGACCCAAAACACACGGCCAAGGCAACAAAGGAGTGGCTCAAGAAGAAGCACATTAAGGTCCTGGAGTGGCCTAGCCAGTCTCCAGACCTTAATCCCATAGAAAATCTGTGGAGGGAGCTGAAGGTTCGAGTTGCCAAACATCAGCCTCGAAACCTTAATGACTTGGAGAAGATCTGCAAAGAGGAGTGGGACAAAATCCCTCCTTAGATGTGTGCAAACCTGGTGGCCAACTACAAGAAACATCTGACCTCTGTGATTGCCAACAAGGGTTTTGCCACCAAGTACTAAGTCATGTTTTGCAGAGGGGTCAAATACTTATTTCCCTCATTAAAATGCAAATCAATTTATAACATTTTTGACATGCGTTTTTCTGGATTATTTTGTTGTTATTCTGTCTCTCACTGTTCAAATAAACCTACCATTAAAATTATAGACTGATCATGTCTTTGTCAGTGGGCAAACGTACTACATCAGCAGGGGATCAAATAATTTTTTCCCTCACTGTATTCCTCATGTCCAGATGGGATAGGGCCGAGTGCAGTGCGATGGTGATTTAATCGTCTGTGGATCTATTAGGGTGGTATGCAAATTGAAGTGGGTCTAGGGTGTCAGGTATGGTAGAGGTGATATGATCCTTAACTAGCCTCTCAAAGCACTTCATGATGACAAGTGAGTGCTACCGGGCGATAGTAATTTAGTTCAGTTACCTTTGCTTTCTTGGGTACCGGAACAATGGTGGACATATTGAAGCAAGTGGGGACAGCAGACTGGGATAGGGAGAGATTGAATATGTCCGTAAACATTCCAGCCAGATGGTCTGCACATGCTCTGAGGACGCGGCTAGGGATGCCGTCTGGACTGACAGCCTTGCGAGGGTTAACACGCTTAAATGTCTGGCTCAAGTCGGCTACGGAGAATGAGAGCCCACAGTCCTTGGGAGTGGGCTGCGTCGGTGGCACTGTGTTATCCTCAAAGCGGGCGAAGAAGGTGTTTAGGGTGTCCGCGACGTGGCTGGTTTTCCCTTTGTAATCCGTGATTGTCTGTAGACCCTGCCACAGACGTCTCGTGTCTGAGCCGTTGAATTGCTACTCCACTTTGTCTCTCTACCGGGGTGTATGAACAAAGGATCCAATTCGGGAAGGTCATATTCCTGGTCGTAATGCTTTTGAGTTACCGCCGCTCTGATATGGCTGTATGTAATAAAACAAAAAAATGTTCTGGGCTAATAATGTAAGAAATAACACACAAAAAAACAAAATACTGCAAAGTTGCTTAGGAGCTAGAAGCAGAGCTGCCATGTCTGTCAGCGCCAATATGCGGTCATCTTTTATTTCTGCACGATGTCACTGATTTAAAGCCTTGAATCTAATAGGGACCTCACTGTCACCACTGGTCATCTAGCTAGCCACTTAGCCAGCAGGGTTGCATCGGTTTCCATTAGACTAGAGCTAGCTAGGTAGCTAACGCTAGCTGATTATCATAAAGCAGCCTATGCTGACTGTCGCTAGCATGCTAACATTAGCTAGCTAGCTAAAGATCAAGCAAATCAAAATCAAGCAAATGGTACTGAACTCATGACAAAATCATGTTTTGACATTGTAGTGGCTATGTTTTTGTTGTTTGTTTTTTTGCTTAGTGACATTGCAAATATAATATTTTTGCCATTTAACTCTGATTGAACTACCGGCATGTATCTAATCTGGTTTCGGCATCAGAATTTGTTCAGAAGTCCCAAATTCCTGTGAGATACTCTGAGAATTTGCTTACTCACGGATACGGAGCTTCACAAATAGAAGATCCGGTCATTGTTTAGGAGCCACTCCCTATATCATTTTGACAATTCAATGTACTTAGGGGGGAAGCTTAGGTTATGGACGCGCCGCCTATGTCTGTAGCGCTTGTGATGGAGTTTTCAAAACAAATGGCCACTGGGTTTATGCATAAAATCATGATTCTGCCAGGTAGGCTACTTTGTACTTGCCTTTTAATTGCATTTCCATCTACCCGAAGACAGTTAGGCTATCTGGCATCGCTAAGGGCTACACAAGGTGGTAGATATATATAGGACCTACACCCACTGCACACACACACAGGGGCATTCACATTACTGTGTGAATTAATCATGATAATAAAAAAGCAAATTGTGAAACAAAAACGAACAAGCCCAGGTAAAAAAATGTCACTGCTACCCCTGCGACCAATTTAAAAATGTGTTTCACTGCCAGTCAAATTGTTGCAATTGCAGCTGTTTTGGTCGCATTATCAAACCCTGTGTGTGGGCGTAGATGTTAGATATTGTTACATACACCGGATAGGTTCAGTGAAATGTGTGGTTTTACAGGGTAACCCAGAGTAGTACGGCGCCCGTGGAGCAAATTAGAGTTAAGTGCCTTGCTCAAGGGCACATCGACATATTTTTCACCTTGTCTGCTCGGGTATTCGAACCAGCGACCTTTCGGATACTGGCCCAACGCTCTAACTGCTAGGCTTGCTGCCACCCTGCGTATGAGAGCGGAAGAGAGAGGCTGTGTTAGTGAGGAAGCAGAGTGTTCCTCATTGTCAGTCCTCTCTCAGGAAAGCAGGAGAACACCAGAGAGAGAGGGCTCACATGTCTCCTGCTCCTGCCTCAGCGGATGCCTATCTGACAGCTTGTACTGCTCATGCTCCGAATGACAAATAAGAGCCACTCTGTGCGCACTCGTGTGCGTGTGCAGTTATGTGCGTGTGTGTTCCGTAACAAAGGCCACTTGCTCAGTGGGAGCCCCGGTGCTGAGAGCCTCTTGCGTGCTGCAGGATCAGGGGAGCGGGGGTAAAATCTGCCTTGTGACAGCATTAAGAGGGTACACAGCACATTCTCTCTCACACACACACACAATTGAACAATCGTTGCGTGTTTTTGGGGGCAGTTTTTGCTGGTAAGCTTTTGGCTCGTAGCTCCAGTCAGGTGGTGCTGCTGAGCCTCTGGTTGTTTGGGATTACCTGATTGGCCCTGTGCAGGCATGCTCATTAGTGGTTCAGGTTCCTGTACACACACACACACACACACACACACACACACACCAGATTCCCGTACAACCCCTGGCCTGCGGTCCAGCACTGCTCTCAGCATCCCAGCAGGAGAGGAGAGCTTGCTTAGTGGTCTGAGACGTTGGCACCAGCACCAGTCAGGCAGCAGGCACCAGCCCCCGTGTGTGCAGATTAAGTACGACCGTGGCCCTGGCCCACTTGATTAGATGTCCTGCAGGTCCAAGCTGCTTTGGTTCTCCTCCCAATCTGTCTCGGTATGAAATGTCTCATGCCCCTCTGTTGGACAGAGCGATTAGGCACTGTGGAGCTGGGAGTGCTCACTCGCTCACACACACACACACACACACACACACACACACACACACACACACACACACACACACACACACACACACACAAAATACAACCTGTATTGATGTGGTAGTGCCTGCTGAACCTTAACCACAGTACACCATGTGATTGAGGAATCTGTAGTAACTTGTCCAATGCTATTATGTTTCCCATACAATGTATTCTCCTCTAAGAAATGGCCATGGAAATGACTCCTTCACTGAACCACTCCTGAGACAGTGTTGTCTGCATTAACTACGTTGTAGGCTAGATAATCATTAACACTATGACTAGATCATAAAAGTCGTATCTACATTTAATAGATAGGCTACCATTTACAATTAGTCGATAAGGGTTATTAGAGCTATTAGTAAATGAGTGTCTTATCTTATAAGACTTTATGATCGAGATTTTGTATAGTCCATGAAGTGTCTGGTGTTCTCTCCTACAGGTGATCGTAGACACCCCCACCAGCCCAGTCACTAGTGGCCTACCCCTGTTCTTCGTCATCACTGTCACAGCCATCAAACAGGTAAGAAACAGCAGCAATGTCCCCTTTGACCTCACTGTCCCCCCCATAGATGTGGAATTACTAGAACAGGCATCCCCATTCTCAGGGGCTTTTCACATTCTAGTAACTCTACTTCTGTGGCCCCCACATAGCCTCTCCATGTATCTCTTCACCACCTCTCTTCTCTCTAAATTACTCCCTTTCCTTTAAAAGCAAATTTTTTGGGGGGTGAAATATTGAATCATTGCAAATGCTTTATTGGTTTTGTCATAGCCAAAGTAATGCTGGCTTTGCGATGCAATGGCGATTTTAAAAGTCGAAGGGGAAAGTTGTCTGGGAACTTGACCAAACGGTGAGATAGTCGCTCGTATAGAAACAAATGATCAGGGGAGTGTCTCATTTCTGCTGAAGCGTGTCCCATCTTTTAGATGTATTGTTTTAGGGATTGGCTTTTCTGGTGGCCTGCTGCTAGGGCTTTTTGAAATGCACAATGGAGGGTGGACTTTTCAAAAAGATATATGGGACACACTGATAGCGGCTAGCGATGCTGCTGCTGCCTTTAGCCAGGCTTTGAAGTGGGACACCTGGGGAGGCTCTGAAGACTGGGTTAGGTGAGCCCTGCAGTCAGTCCCTTACTAAAAGGACACTCATCTCTCTCTCCTCCCTCCCTCTCTGTCCATCCACCTACCACCCATTATTCCCTCCTTCTGTTTCCTCCCTGCATCATCCCTCCCTCTCTCTCTCTCTGGCATCTTTCTTCCTCTATCCCTCTTACCCCTGTTTCCCTGCCCTCTGGCATTGACGATCTGTTGACCCTCTCTTCATTTCCCCTTTCACTTACCCTCTTCATCTTCTGCCCTCCCCTCTCTTCCTCTCCCTCTTCTCTCTCCTCCACTCTTCTATCTTTCTCTCCCTCTTCTCTCCCTCCCTCTCTCTTCTCTTCCCTTCCTCGCTCTTCTCTCCCTCTCTCTTCTCCCCCTCTTCCTTTCTCCCTCTTACTCCTCTCTCCTCCCCTCTCTTCTCCCCTCTCTTCCTCTCTCCCTCCGTCTCTCAGGGCTATGAGGACTGGCTGCGGCACAAGGCAGATAATGAGGTGAATAAGTACCTGGTGACGGTGCTGGAGGACGGCCGGAGAGCACGCAAGGAGAGCGAGAAGATCAAGGTACCGTTTAGCAAGCTGCGCCTCGGCCAAGTTCCCTGGAAATAAATATCCCCTTTGGGACACGGGGGTCGGGAGGGAGAGGTAGTTGGCATCTTGGCATGTTCTTGTAAGGCTGTACTGTACGGTATGGTAATCCCAAGTAGGTGATGCAGAATGGAGGAAGATGATGATACATTTTAGTCAAAACATTAAGGACACCTGCTCTTTCCGTGACAGACTGACCAGGTGAATCCAGATGAAAGCTATGATCCCTTATTGATGTCACTTGTTACATCTACTTCAATCAGTGTAGATGAAGGGGAGGAGACAGGTTAAAGAAGGATTTTTAAGCCTTGAGACAATTGAGACATGGATTGTGTATGTGTGCCATTCAGAGAGTGAATGGGCAAGACAAAATACACAAAAATAAAGGAACACTAAAATAACACATCCTAGATCTGAATGAATGAAATAATCTTATTAAATACTTTTTTCTTTACATAGTTGAATGTGCTGACAACAAAATCACACAAAAGATATCAATGGAAATCAAATGTATCAACCCATGGAGGTCTGGATTTGGAGTCACCCTCAAAATTAAAGTGGAAACCCACACTACAGGCTGAACCAACTTTGATGTAATGTCCTTAAAACAAGTCAAAATGAGGCTCAGTAGTGTGTGTGGCCTCCACATGCCTGTATGACCTCCCTACAACGCCTGGGCATGTTCCTGATGAGGTGGCGGATGGTCTCCTGAGGGATCTCCTCCCAGACCTGGACTAAAGCATCCGCCAACTCCTGGACAGTCTGTGGTGCAACGTGGCGTTGGTGGATGGAGCGAGACATGATGTCCCAGATGTGCTCAATTGGATTCAGGTCTGGGGAACGGGCGGGCCAGTCCATAGCATCAATGCCTTCCTCTTGCAGGAACTGCTGACACACTCCAGCCACATGAGGTCTAGCATTGTCTTGCATTAGGAGGAACCCAGGGCCAACCGCACCAGCATATGGTCTCACAAGGGGTCTGAGGATCTCATCTCGGTACCTAATGGCAGTCAGGCTACCTCTGGCGAGCACATGGAGGGCTGTGCGGCCCCCCAAAGAAATGCCACCCCACACCATGACTGACCCACCGCCAAACCGGTCATGCTGGAGGATGTTGCAGGCAGCAGAACGTTCTCCACGGCGTCTCCAGACTCTGTCACGTCCGTCACGTGCTCAGTGTGAACCTGCTTTCATCTGTGAAGAGCACAGGGCGCCAGTGGCGAATTTGCCAATCTTGGTGTTCTCTGGCAAATGCCACCTGTGGACGTCGGGCCCTCATACCACCCTCATTGAGTCTGTTTCTGACCGTTTGAGCAGACACATGCACATTTGTGGCCTGCTGGAGGTCATTTTGCAGGGCTCTGGCAGTGCTCCTCCTTGCACAAAGGCGGAGGTAGCAGTCCTGCTGCTGGGTTGTTGCCCTCCTACGGCCTCCTCCACGTCTCCTGATGTACTGGCCTGTCTCCTGGTAGCGCCTCCATGCTCTGGACACTACGCTGACAGACACAGCAAACCTTCTTGCCACAGCTCGCATTGATGTGCCATCCTGGATGAGCTGCACTACCTGAGCCACTTGTGTGGGTTGTAGACTCCGTCTCATGCTACCACTAGAGTGAAAGCACCGCCAGCATTCAAAAGTGACCAAAACATCAGCCAGGAAGCATAGGAACTGAGAACTCGTCTGTGGTCACCACCTGCAAAACCAGTCCTTTATTGGGGGTGTCTTGCTAATTGCCTATAATTTCCACCTGTTGTCTATTCCATTTGCACAACAGCATGTGAAATGTATTGTCAATCAGTGTTGCTTCCTAAGTGGACAGTTCGATTTCACAGAAGTGTGATTGACTTGGAGTTACATTGTGTTGTTTAAGTGTTCCCTTTATTTTTTTGAGCAGTGTATTTAAGTGCCTTTGAACGTGGTATGGTAACAGGTGCCAGGTGCACTGGTTTGTGTCAAGAACTGCAATGCTTCTGGGTTTTTTATGCTCAACAGTTTCCCATGTGTATCAAAAATGGTCCACTACCCAAAGGACATCCAGCCAACTTGACACAACTGTGGGAAGCATTGGAGTCAACATGGGCCAGCATCCCTGTGGAATGCTTTTGACACCTTGTAGTCCGTGCCCCGACAAATTGTGGCTGTTGAGGTGTTCTTAATGTTTTGTACACTGTGTAGATTCACAATGCTTTGATGTCGAACTTCAATGTCCAAACCAAGCCCAATCCCAAATCGACCCCTAGTCCTCCCTGTGCACTTTTGGAAATCTGAGAAGATTTGACAGGTGTAAGCAATTTGGTTACAGCTCCAACTTGCCATCTGATAGGCTAGGACGTGGACGTGTCACCATTGCTTATACCAAACAAATCCTTTCAGAGATCCACAAGAGCCTAGGGACTATGGGTGGATCTGTATGGACCTGATATATTCTGTTGTTCCTCTAGGTTGGTGATGTGCTGGAGGTGGTGGAGGATGAGACCTTTCCCTGTGACCTCATCCTGCTGCAGTCCAGCCGGGAGGACGAGACCTGCTTTGTCACCACGGCCAGTCTGGACGGGGAGTCCAACCATAAGGTGGAGTGCTGCTACTGTAACAGTAGAATCACAGTGTCATTGAGACGTATCATCATGGCAGACGTGTGGTCTGTGGGGGCTATGGCATCGCTTTCAATCTACCATTACTCCCTTCCTCTCCATCACTCTTCACTCAAATCCAGCAACGGTGTGTGTGTGTGTGTGTGTGTGTGTGTGTGTTTGTGTCTGACTGCCTGTGTGTGTGTCTGCTTGTCTGTGTGTGTGCCTGCCTGTGTGTGCGCACGCATGTGACTACGCATGTGTATGTATCCTTAAGTGTGTTTTTAGAGCGCTGCAGTGATGACCTGAAATATTTGGCACTCGCTCACTCTCTCTCTCCTCGATCTGTCTCTCTTAGACACACTACACAGTGCCAGACACAGAGAAGAACCTAGAGTCTCTCAGCGCCACCATCGAGTGCGAGCAGCCGCAGCCTGACCTCTACAAGTAGGCTATTAGGCTATGAATCCTCCTCGCACATTTCTTCCTTAGAGATCTGAGTAGGAGTTCTGATCTAGCATCAGTCCCCCCCCACCCCACCCCGTTCATACCATTTTGATCTAGAAGTTAAAACTGATCGTAGACTGATCGTTTGTGAATCTGGTCCCTGGACCGTAAAAGCATGTGCACACTGGTTTTACTTTAGGGTTTAGTCAGTTGAATCAACTGTCAATTAGGATGACATTTTAATAGCTGCAGTGTCATTACGTTGAGTGTTGGCAGGCTATAATCTTAATAGATCTAGCTCTCTGACATATTGTTATGAGAGATGTTAGACTGTTAGGAAACCTGATTTGTGGAAGAGACTGGCCAGGAATTTAAGGGAAAGTTCAGTTAGATTTGGCCCAAGCTGAGGAACAGACCCAGTTGTTTGCACAGCTGTATCCGCTCCGTAGACCTAGTGGTTTGGTGCCACCTATGGGCAAGGAGCTGCCATTACAGGACAGTTGGCCGCCAGACATCAGTGACGTCCTAATGAAGACGCCAGATGCTGCTCCTTTTCACAATCAATAAAACAGAGTTGTGGTGCTGTCGGACAAACCACCAGTCATTAGCTCGCTCTTAATTGGTGCAGTCCCTGCAAAGTCCTGGTGGTCAGCATATGGTGTTGTGGTTTAGTTTTACGTCTGATTAGTTCCTGTGCTGCTGCTGGTATTATTCATCAGTGTCTGTTTCTTTTCTAATATCAGAAGATATTCACACTGACTTTTTCTAACCCATTACACAGTTAATTCAATTCAGGTTCATCGTGAGATGCACATCACAGGAGGCTGGTGGCACCTTAACTGGGGAGGTAATGACTGGAGCGCAATTGGTGGAATGGTATAAAATACATCAAACACATGGTTTTCCTGGTGTTTGATGCCATTCCATCCGTTCCGGACCTTATTATGAGCCGTCCTCCCCTCAGCAGCCTCCTGTGGTGTACATGTATGTTACCGTTATTGGGTGGGGTAGTGCACTGATGAGTGTCTGTGTCTATAGATTTGTGGGGCGAATGCACATCTACAGGAACGACCAGGAACCTGCTGTGAGGTAAGAGTGCTCACCACTCCCCTATTGGTTCCTCTCAGCCCTACTTCCCCTTCCTCCTGTACATCAGTCTTAAAAAAGAACTAAAAGCACAGTTGCTTAAGCATTACCATCAAATCATTATTTCATTGATCCATAACGCCAAACGAGCATTAAAGTGAAGCTGGACCTGGCACAGACTCAGGGCAGCGCTTAGAAAGCGCTCTCGGAAGCATTTGTCACCGGCCCGCTTATAAAAAATGTTTTGTGTCCTATCCATTGAGAGTAGTAGGCATTTTAGAGAGTGCTAGTTTGCCACTATAAGACAAGGGTACTGTCTTGGAGTTTTGGAAGGTTTGTGACAGTATTTTCTCTGTGTGGGGTTCCTCAGATCTTTGGGTCCAGAGAATCTCCTCTTGAAAGGTGCTACCTTGAAGAATACTCAGAAGATATATGGTGAGTTACAGGACATTGTTTAATGCAATTGAGGGTTTGAATGATCCTCAGTGCTGGTGTCAGCATGTGAGACTATCCTGACATCTGTCTCTCTCTCTATGTCTCTCCTCTAGGTGTGGCAGTTTACTCAGGCATGGAGACCAAGATGGCTCTGAACTACCAGGGGAAGTCCCAGAAGCGCTCTGCGGTGGAGAAGTAAGGGGGGTCGAAGAGAATTACAGAAAAGGAGAAGCAGATCATTGAATGAGGGGCTTTAATTGGGGTTTAGCCAGAGGGGAACAACAATCAATTGAATGACGCTGGGGTAGTTAAAGTCGATTTAGGTGTCCATTCACATTGATATCAGAGGGATATATAGATAGTAGCTGTTTCACACAGTGGATGTATATTTTCAGTGTTGCTAATGGAAGATTGGTTATTACTCCTGTTTCAGGTCTATCAATTCCTTCCTGCTGGTGTACCTGTGTATCCTGGTGAGCAAGGCCCTGGTGTGCACCACGCTCAAGTATGTGTGGCAGAGCCGACCAGGCCAGGACGAGCCCTGGTACAACCAGAAGACGCAGAAGGAGAAAGATACCAACCTGGTGAGGCCTTCACTCTGCTAACAAGACTTTACACAGATGCTCAAATACAGTAAAGCACCTTGTAACGCACACTCAAATACAACTTAACACCTTATGAGCCTAGTTCATTGACCAAGAGTCACAGTACACCAATTGCACTTAGCACTGCATTATCAGTGTGAGCCTGTTTTTTCTCAAAGGGCTCTGGAAGTGTATTTTAACCCTGTGTTCCCTCCTCTCTCCCCCTAGTACCTGAAGATGTTTACTGACTTCCTGTCGTTCATGGTGCTGTTCAACTTCATCATCCCCGTGTCCATGTACGTGACGGTGGAGATGCAGAAGTTCCTGGGCTCCTTCTTCATCACTTGGGACAAGGACTTCTTCGACCCTGAGATCCAGGAAGGGGCTCTGGTCAACACCTCCGACCTCAACGAGGAGCTGGGACAGGTTGGGGATTAATGATATGAAGCTAGTGTTGATAAGACCATAACCACTTCCCCAAAGGAGATTTCTTTGGTCATGGTAACCCTAGTTTACATGCCAGACTCCCACTGAAGTGTTGTTACATACATTTGGCCAGATATCCAGATATCCACCCTGTATGAATACTTTGAAAAGGCATCCTATGTACTGTAATGTACCATAATTTTCAGACTATAAGCCGGGCCTTTTTTCCCATATTTCGACCCTGCGGCTTATATAACGGTGCGGCTAATCTATGGATTTTTACAGCTAACGGCCACTAGAAGACCTCCTAAATCTATGGATTTTACAGGTTACAGTCCACCAACTTTAACTCTATGGGCTCTATGACCGGTCCGCGCCCCCCACCTTTAAGCGGCGGGCTCCAGCAGGAAAAGCTGGAGGCCGGAAAAGAGTGAGACAGGTAGCGCGCAAAAGTAAAAGTGGAACCAAGAGTGGTACGAGAGACAGAACGAGAGACCGAACGAGAGCAAGACAGACAGACATCACGAGAGCGAGACAGTTTGTGCAAAGGAAGTTTTCATGCACAAACCCTCATTATGGAAAACAAACGTAGAAATGCATATGATGCAGCTTTTAAGTTAAAGGCAGTCAATCTGGCTGTAAAATAAGGAAATAGAGCTGCTGCACGTAGCCTTGGCATCAATGAGTCAATGGTGAGACGTTGGAGACGCCAGCGGGAAGAACTGTCTCAATGCAAAAAGTCAAAAAAAGCTTTCATATGGTAATTAAACATTAAAACACCTGCGGCTAATAGTCCAGTGCGGCTTATATATGTATACATCATTCAATTTAGCTGCTGCAGTTTATACTCCGGTGCGCCTTATAGTGCGGAAAATACGGTACTTCAGTTACCCAGTCATGTTAGATCAGTGATTACCTCAAGGGGAAGAGATACAAACAAGGCCATAGGTTTTGATAGGCTGTGTTTACACAGGCAGCCCAAATCGTATTCCCCTCCCCCCACTAATTTGTCTTTTAAATAATCAGATCAGATTTTTTGCCCAATAATTGGGCAAAAGATCTGAATTGTGCTGCCTGTGTAAACGCAGCCATAGAGGTCCAGGGCCTCTTTTCTCTTAGCCCGAGTCTTTGGTGGAGTGAGATGACCCAAAATGAACAACATACCTCAAATTTCAGAATATGAAATGGTCTAACTGGTCCTAATAGGACTTGATTGGCTGTGCCTTCCTGACTTCTTTTTACTGAACCTCCAACTCAAACAGTGGCGTCGTAGATCAGTCACATTCGGTTTGCCAGATGATTACTTCAATTAAAGGTGACGATTCATTAAACTAGATTTATGCGTTGTAACTCTGTCAGGGATTAATTGCCCATTATTGTTCGCAGCCATTAATTGCGGCAAGTGTTTTTTTACAACCCTGGAAGAGAGTCTCATGCTTGATACGCACTATAGGGCCAGACCCGAGCCGTACTGTGCTGGCTCAGATGTTTTCCATTCCAGCATGGTATCCAGGCCAGCCCAGTACAGCTTGGCTCGGCTCAATAGTGTTTTGACGGGTATTAGTCTGACCCTGCAGTTTCACCTTGTCTCCCCTAGGTGGAGTACGTGTTCACGGACAAGACGGGCACGCTGACCCAGAACAACATGGAGTTCATCGAGTGCTGCATTGACGGCTTCCAGTACAAGTACGCCGACTCGGGCACCGAGCTAGACGGCTTCTGTGTCACAGATGGACCCGTGAGCATGCTGCAGCAGAAGGCTGGCAAGGTGGGTGACTGTCACCGACTGGTTATCTGCCCCTTCAGGCATTCCAGTCAGGCATGCCAACATATTGGCATCAGATGGCCCAGTGTGCTGGTGGAACCACAGAGATCACATATGATAACAAGCGTCACACGTGTGTACTCTGGCCTGATCACACGTAGTGTGCTACATAACCGGTGACAGATCCAGTGAGATTAATGGGGCCAGCAGTTTGTACTCGCGTCTGTTTTCCTCTGTGTGCTACCTGTGTCATTGAATCCCATAGAGACGGAGGTTGTTAGGTACTAATAATGTTAGCTGTTACTATGTCGTAGAAAAAACGTTTTGCAACAGAGAAAAAGTTCAGGTAGGTCCATCCCCGTTTCGACCTGTTTGCAATTGGTTCATAGTGAATACACCCCTGGTAAATAGCACACTGTAAAATAAGTAACGTGTGTGTGTTTTCAGGAGAAGGAGGAGCTGTTCCTGCGGGCTCTGTGTCTGTGCCACACGGTGCAGGTGAAGGAGTCTACGGGTCAGGGGGAGGGAGTAGGAGACGGTGTAGAGGATCAGGTGGACGGTGTCCTAGGGCTGGACGGAGAGATGGTCCACCCTGCAGACCTCAGGGGCTTCATCGCCTCCTCACCCGACGAGGTGGCACTGGTCAAGGGAGCCATGAAGTAAGGGACAAGGGCTGAGCGATCAGTCAACTTTTATTAATCAATCCATCCAGCAAAAAAGCCAATTCACTTTTATAAGGGGACTTGGTTTGTTGAATCAGTACTGCTCACTTGTCTTTGTCGCCATTTACAGGTACGGTTTCACATTCCTTGGTATGGAGAGCAAGAACATGAGAGTGATGAACAGAAACAACGATGTTGAGACGTAAGTCATCGTATAACAAGTTGTTAAATACGTGATTTTTAGTAGTCTTTTTTTTGGGGGGGGGGGGGGGGGTCGTATAGAAAGTTCTCATTTGTTGGGTTCACGTTGGCTTCTGAACTTGCAGGTACGAGCTGCTTCATGTGTTGAACTTTGACCCGGTGCGAAGGCGTATGAGTGTGATAGTCCGAACCAAATCAGGTAACGCTGCAATTACCTCTCATGTCACTGCCTTGTCTCTGTCCTGTGTTGACTCCTGTCCCTAATCTGCCTGGCTGTGTTGGTTGCTCAGGGGACACCATGCTGTTCTGTAAGGGGGCCGATTCCTCCATCTTCCCCCGTGTAAGGCAGGAGGAGGTGGACAGGATACGCATGCACGTGGAACGCAACGCTACGGTGGGTCACAGCAACCCCATCTGCTTCACTAACTTATGTTCATACAATGTGAATATAGTGTATGTCTGTGCACTTATGTCTCACGGTGCCCAGGGAGGCTGCCATTTTGTTTGTGTGTTCATTTAAGGTTCATGTTCAAGGTTCATGTTTATTTGCAATATGTAATAGGTACATTGGAAATGTAGTGTTCTCACATTCAGAAACCACATTATAAACGGCGAGAATGTGTTTGTGTGTGTGTGTGTTAACGTATTCTGTGTGTTCGTGCTACGTGTCAGGAGGGCTACCGGACGCTGTGTGTGGCCTACAAGCTGCTGAGCAGTGAGGAGTATGACCAGGCAGACGCAGGGCTGAGGGAAGCCAAGCTGGCCCTGCAGGACCGAGAAGAGAAACTCATGGCTGTCTACAACCAGGTGGAGACTGGGATGAGCCTGATCGGAGCTACCGCCGTGGAGGACAGGTGGGTGGACACAGTCACGTCAAGGTTAACTCAATCTGCGTCCCAAATGGCACCCTATTAACCATATAGTGCACTACCCATAGGGCTCTGGTCAAAAGTAGTGCACTAAATAGGGAATAGGAGGCCATTTGGGGCACAGCCTTTCTTTTAGAAGTGAACCATAATGTGTTGAGGTCAAATCGTGTGTGTGCGTGAGTTGTATATATGTTTTTCTACAATATGAACTCAGTCATTCTGTCAAACAGACACATGTGTTCACTGACTCTCTCACACTTTTTTATTTTATTTTTTATTTATTTCACCTTTATTTAACCAGGTAAGACAGTTGAGAACAAGTTCTCATTTACAACTGCGACCTGGCCAAGATAAAGCAAAGCAGTGCGATAAAAACAACAACACAGAGTTACATATGGGGTAAACAAAACATAAAGTCAAAAATACCACAGAAAATACACTGCTCAAAAAAATAAAGGGAACACTTAAACAACACAATGTAACTCCAAGTCAATCACACTTCTGTGAAATCAAACTGTCCACTTAGGAAGCAACACTGATTGTCAATAAATGTCACATGCTGTTGTGCAAATGGAATAGACAACAGGTGGAAATTATAGGCAATTAGCAAGACACCCCCAATAAAGGACTGGTTTTGCAGGTGGTGACCACAGACCACTTCTCAGTTCCTATGCTTCCTGGCTGATGTTTTGGTCACTTTTGAATGCTGGCGGTGCTTTCACTCTAGTGGTAGCATGAGACGGAGTCTACAACCCACACAAGTGGCTCAGGTAGTGCAGCTCATCCAGGATGGCACATCAATGCGAGCTGTGGCAAGAAGGTTTGCTGTGTCTGTCAGCGTAGTGTCCAGAGCATGGAGGCGCTACCAGGAGACAGGCCAGTACATCAGGAGACGTGGTGGAGGCCGTAGGAGGGCAACAACCCAGCAGCAGGACTGCTACCTCCGCCTTTGTGCAAGGAAGGAGCAGGAGGAGCACTGCCAGAGCCCTGCAAAATGACCTCCAGCAGGCCACAAATGTGCATGTGTCTGCTCAAATGGTCAGAAACAGACTCCATGAGGGTGGTATGAGGGCCCGACGTCCACAGATGGGGGTTACAGCCCAACACCCGTGCAGGACGTTTGGCATTTGCCAGAGAACACCAAGATTGGCAAATTCGCCACTGGCGCCCTGTGCTCTTCACAGATGAAAGCAGGTTCACACTGAGCACGTGACGGACGTGACAGAGTCTGGAGACGCCGTGGAGAACGTTCTGCTGCCTGCAACATCCTCCAGCATGACCGGTTTGGCGGTGGGTCAGTCATGGTGTGGGGTGGCATTTCTTTGGGGGGCCGCACAGCCCTCCATGTGCTCGCCAGAGGTAGCCTGACTGCCATTAGATCCTCAGACCCCTTGTGAGACCATATGCTGGTTCCTCCTAATGCAAGACAATGCTAGACCTCATGTGGCTGGAGTGTGTCAGCAGTTCCTGCAAGAGGAAGGTATTGATGCTATGGACTGGCCCGCCCGTTCCCCAGACCTGAATCCAATTGAGCACATCTGGGACATCATGTCTCGCTCCATCCACCAACGCCACGTTGCACCACAGACTGTCCAGGAGTTGGCGGATGCTTTAGTCCAGGTCTGGGAGGAGATCCCTCAGGAGACCATCCGCCACCTCATCAGGAGCATGCCCAGGCATTGTAGGGAGGTCATACAGGCACGTGGAGGCCACACACACTACTGAGCCTCATTTTGACTTGTTTTAAGGACATTACATCAAAGTTGGATCAGCCTGTAGTGTGGTTTTCCACTTTAATTTTGAGGGTGACTCCAAATCCAGACCTCCATGGGTTGATAAATTTGATTTCCATTGATAATTTGTGTGTGATTTTGTTGTCAGCACATTCAACTATGTAAAGAAAAAAGTATTTAATAAGATTATTTCATTCATTCAGATCTAGGATGTTATTTTAGTGTTCCTTTTATTTTTTTGAGCAGTGTATATATACAGTGTGTGCAAATGTAGCAAGTTATGGAGGTAAGGCAATAAATAGGCCATAGTGCAAAATATTTACTAATTAGTATTAACACTGGAATGATAGATGTGCAAGAGGTGATGTGCAAATAGAGATCCTGGGGTGCAAATTAGCAAAATAAATAACAATATGGGGATGAGGTAGTTGTGTGGGCTAATTTCAGAAGGGCTGTGTACAGGTGCAGTGATCGGTAAGGTGCTCTGACAACTGATGCTTAAAGTTAGTGAGGGAGATAAGTCTCCAGCTTCAGAGATTTTTACAGTTCGTTCCAGTCATTGGCAGCAGAGAACTGGAAGGAATGGCGGCCAAAGGAGGTGTTGGCTTTGGGGATGACCAGTGAGATATACCTGCTGGAGTGCATACTACGGGTGGGTGGTGCTATGGTGACCAATGAGCTAAGATAAGGCGGAGATTTGCCTAGCAGTGATTTATAGATGGCCTGGAGCCAGTGGGTTTGGTGACGAATATGTAGTGAGGACCAGCCAACAAGAGCGTACAGGTCACAGTGGTGGGTAGTATATGGGGCTTTGGTGACAAAACGGATGGCACTGTGATAGACTACATCCAATTTGCTGAGTAGAGTGTTGGAGGCTATTTTGTAAATGACATCGCCGATGTCAAGGATCGGTAGGATAGTCAGTTTTACGAGGGCATGTTTGGCAGCATGAGTGAAGGAGGCTTTGTTGTGAAATAGGAAACCGATTCTAGATTTAACTTTGGATTGGAGATGCTTAATGTGAGTCTGGAATGTGAGTCACCGTCTCACTCACACACACACCGTCTCACTCACACCGTCTCACTCACACACATACTTACACCGTCTCACTCACACACACACACCGTCTCACTCACACACACACACACCGTCTCACTCACACACACACACACCGTCTCACTCTCACACACACACACCGTCTCACTCACTCACTCACACACACACACACACACACACACACACCACCCTCTCACTCACTCACACACACACACACACACCGTCTCACTCACTCACACACACACACACACACACACACACACACCCTCTCACTCACTCACACACACACCCCGTCTCACTCACTCACACACACACACACACACACACACACACACACCGTCTCACTCACTCACACACACACACCGTCTCACACACACACACACACACACACACCGTCTCACTCACACACACCGTCTCACTCACACACGCACACACACACACACACACCGTCTCACTCACACACACACACTCGTCTCACTCACTCACACACACACACACACCGTCTCACTCTCACACACACACACCATCACACACACACACCATCACACACACACACCATCTCACACACACACCATCTCACACACACACACGCTGCCGCTCAGCTTTCTCTCTCATCTGTTTGTCTCACTTACTCATGACTCATTCTCTCTGACACACCCCTTATCACCCTTTCACTGCAAACTGCCTCATCACTCCACCCCCCCCCCTCCCTCTTTCTCTTCCTCCCTCTGTCTCCAGGTTGCAGGAGGAGGCAGCAGAGACCATGGAGGCCTTGCAGGGAGCAGGCATGAAGGTGTGGGTGCTGACGGGGGACAAGATGGAGACGGCCAAGTCCACGTGCTACGCCTGCCGGCTGTTCCAGAGAGGTACAGAGCTGCTGGAGCTGACGGTGCGAACCCTGGATGACCCGGGGAGGAAGAGAGATGAGCGCCTGCATGAGCTGCTGCTAGACTACCACAAGAGGGCAGTGCAAGATGCCCCACCGGTCAAGGCTGGGGTCACCAGGTCAGTACTTAGTCAAGGGTTGGAGGTTGAAAGGAGGCAGTCATTTTAGTTAATTTATATGTTGCTACTGTTGTTAGTAGTTGTTAGCTGTTGTTAACAATTGGTAGTAAATTATGTTTTGAATGAGAATGTGTTGAATTATAAGTCTTACTCCTCTCCCAGAATTCTAATTGATGAAGCGAACACAACTGCGTACTAGGACTGGATTTGCGGTACAGTTTTGCTCTTGTTAGCGTTCTTGTGTCAAATCTAAACCCGTCTCTGCATTCTCTGTCCCTCCCAGGAGCTGGTCTTCAGCGAACCAGGACTACGGCTTCATCATAGATGGAGCCACTCTGTCGTTGGTGCTTAACTCCTCTTCTGACTCCAACTCCAGCCGCTACAAGAGTCTCTTCCTCCAGATCTGTCAGAACTGTACCACTGTCCTGTGCTGCCGTATGGCTCCCCTACAGAAGGCCCAGGTGAGTGACGTCAGAAGCGCTTACTGATAGATGAAGTAGATTAACTGTAGATGGCTACAGTAGTTAAAGGCTAACCAGGTGTGACAGTTAAGGTCTCGCGCAAAGGTTATTCACATCCTCAAAATCATTCTGTAATTTAACACATTACACCTGGTAATAATATTACAAATGTCTGCATCTGTGCATTTCGTTTTGAATGCAGAACCAAGTGGGATTTAATTCAAACTCTTTCTCCTTCCCTTTCGCCTATAGATAGTAAAAATGGTGAAGAACGCTAAAGGCAGCCCTATCACCCTCTCTATCGGAGATGGGGCCAACGATGTCAGTATGATCCTGGAGGCACACGTTGGCATCGGTAAGCCTCGGGACATCGGTAGACCTCCAAAGGCATTAGGCAGTGCCTTTTTTATGGGGTGGCAGGTAGCTTAGTGGTTAAGAGCGTTGTGCCAGTAACCGAAAGGTCGCTGGTTCTAATCCCCGAGCCGACTAGGTGAAAAATCTGTCGACGTGCCCTTGAGCAAGGCACTTAACCCTAATTGCTCCTGTAAGTCACTCTGGATAAGAGCGTCTGCTAAATGACTAAAATGTAAAATGTAATGTAATATCACATATTGTATTCTAATATTTTCCCTTGTCCTCCCTGTCTCAGGTATAAAGGGTAGAGAGGGTCGCCAGGCGGTGAGGAACAGTGACTATGCCATCCCTAAGCTCAAGCACCTGAAGAAACTGTTACTGGGACACGGGCATCTATACTACGTCCGCATCGCCCACCTGGTGCAATACTTCTTCTACAAGGTAGGGGGCAGCACAGACATTTGAGCGCCATAACGTGCTTATGGTAACTGAGGATCATGATGATGTCACATCAGGTGAGGTCAAGGTTGGGTCATTGTTTGGAGCTATAACACCGAAACCTGTGTTGCTCCCAAACAAAGAGCAGTAGATATGAGGATTATTTGGGAGTGTGATGTATACAGCCAAGTCTTCTGATGTTGATGAAGGACAGTGATCAAGCTCATGTGATTTAGCTGACACCCGGACACCAAAACTCTTCACCACCAGAGGACATGGACATCAGTGGAGGCTGCTGACGGGAGGACGGCTCATAATAATTGCCAGAATGGAGTGAATGGAATGGTTTTCATGTGTTTGGTACCATTCCATTCGCTCAATTAAACTCCATTCCAGCCACTATTATGAGCCGTCCTCCCCTAAGCAGCCTCCACTGATGTCCATTGCCTTTTGATGTGTCTAACCTCGGGCTCTTTCTCCCACTCTCTTGCTTACAGAACCTCTGCTTCATCTTACCTCAGTTCTTGTACCAGTTTTTCTGTGGATACTCCCAGCAAGTGAGTACCGGCCCGGGCCCTGCTGGTGCCCCCCCCCCTCCTCTCTCTGAGGTTCAAAGATGCTCTAAACTTGAAACGGCAGAGTACCCCATTGAACCGCAGCACCTTCTCCAGTCTACGCCCATACTCTTCCCCTCTGGTTGACCTGACCCTCCCTCTCTCCTCGATCTCCTGGAGTGGCTGCAGTATGATATATATGACATATAGTACATATGAAATCAAATTCTATTGGTCACATACACATATTTAGCTAATGTTATTGCGGATGTAGGGAAATGCTTGTGTTCCTAGCTCCAACAGTGCAGTAGTATCTAACAATTCACAACAATACACACATCTAAAAGTAAAATAATGGAATTAAGAAATATATCAATATTAGGACGAGCAATGTCGGAGTGGCATTGACTAAAATACAGTATATACATATTATATCCACATTATATATATACTGGGTGACTAGGACATAGTACAGCCCCTTGGTTACACCAAGTAAGTCCTGGCCATATTAGCCAATGTGCCAAATTATTCATTCATTTGGCACATGTTTAGCTCAAGCAGGAGATGTTCCACATTTTCACATCCGAGTATACACAGCTAACTTGACCTGCTCTCTCAGGTCCATCTGTCTGTATATATCAAAGGATGGGTCTTCTGCATGTGGCCACACAGCAACAGGCTCAAGGCTATAGAGCCCTCTTGCTGTGGAGCTAGTGTGTGTGTGTGTGTGTGCATGCTCTCTCCTCTCCGTAATTAACCCCTGGGTTCCCAATCCCTCCACTCCCTGCCCCCCTCCCTCCCTCCCGTCCTCCCCAGCCCCTCTACGACGCAGCCTATCTGACGATGTACAACATCTGTTTCACCTCAATGCCTATCCTGGCCTACAGCCTCTTGGAGCAGCACATCTGTATGGAGGTCCTGATGGACAACGCCGCCCTCTACAGGTAGGGTGGGGAACTACACTATTCATTCTGCACCTATGTAGAGAATGCACTGGCTATGCTTCTAGTTTGATTAGCCAAGCAAGTGCTTTCAATTCTCGGTCTTTGTATTCTTACGGTCTCCCCGGCCTCCCTTCCTGCCCTCTTTTCTCTCCATCTCTCCTTTTCTCTCCTTAGGGACGTAGCAAAGAATGCCATGTTGCGTTGGGGCCCCTTCCTGTACTGGACCCTACTGGGGGTCTACCAGGGCCTCTTGTTCTTCTTCGGGGTCCGCTTTCTCTTTAGCAACCCCGCCTTGCAGGATAATGGCCAGGTGTTTGGGAATTGGTCGTACGGAACGATTGTTTTTACTGTCCTCGTCTTCACCGTGACGCTGAAGGTTAAGCAAATTATAACTTAATTATGTTATTGAAATACATTTTTAGACCAATGATAACACTTGTCTTCTCTTTGTCGTTCTAGCTGGCTATGGACACGCGCCATTGGACATGGATCAATCACTTTGTCATCTGGGGCTCGCTGGCCTTCTACATGTTCTTCAGCTTCTTCTGGGGTGGGATAATATGGTGAGTACTGGATCATCTGACGCATACATCAATTAGGGCTGACCCCATTTAGTCAATTGTTTGGTCAAGATTTCGGTCACACCTGTCTGATTGGCTCATGTCTCAGTGGACTGATCCATTGTGGAGGCCTGTCTGAGTAGGCTGATCCATTGTGGAGGCCGTGGGGATGGCACAGTCCATCAGTCTACAACGTGCTTCTGAAATTTTATATGCTTATATTATTTAAGAACAATGGTGCAACACAAATAAAAATAATATTAATTTATAACAAATGCGCTATCAGCGTTAGAGCGTGGTCGCTGTCCGTGGTTCTGAAACGCATGAGTGCGCTGTTGAATTGGCGCCTTTTCCTAGACCATGTTTCTATGTGCATAATAGCAAAGTTAACTAGCATATTGGTGTTGAGAACAATGCAGCGGAGTTAGGAAAACAGCCCTTGTCTAAATTGTCTAAGAAAAGTGAGGAGAGCGGAACCCCCAACTTAATTAGGTCTATAATCAATAGCCTAACTGTTAAATGTGCCAGGCTTTATAAATCATCCAGATATATAATAATAATAATATGCCATTTAGCAGACGCTTTCATCTACCCCACTACCCTGGCGTTACAAGCGCCGTGCTCTACCAATTGAGCTACAGAGGGCTACAGAAATAATACAGATCTTGCTTCTGTTGCCTGTTTGAGCGTTTGTTTAATAGCCTACTGATTCCGTGAGCACCAAGCCTCACGCAACCACGTCAGAAAAACAATTTCACAAATTCAGCTGTTTTTACTCCTTGCTATACTGTGATAAAGGCTTTACACTTTTTTTTCATTAGACCAACCTCTGGTATTATTTATAATTTAGTTTTTACACTGTTCCAAATTGTCTGAAATTATATTTATTATAATAATAACCCTCCTTTTTCCTTGATCTCGTTATTATTATCATCATTATAATAATAAGTAATGTCATAATCATTAGTAGGCTTGGTATAGCAGCCTTGTGTAAATGCCATCGAGCTGTAGGCCTAAGAGCGCATCTTGTTTAGTCAATATCGTAACTTACTTAGGGCTATATTTCAATACTTATATAGGCTACTGTATCAATCAATAATTGATTTGTTCATGTCACCACACAGCATACGAGTCATTCATGATTTGAAATGCAAACAAGCATTTTAGTTTTAAAATGAAATAACAAAGCGACCATTGAATAATTAACGTAAACAAGAAATAGGCCTAAACCATTCCATTTTGTAAATTGCATTCACGAATGAATGCGACTGTTTTTAGTCTTTGCTGTAATAAAGGCTTTACAACAAAACAAAAATAGTTACAACAGACTCGCTTATAATTTATTTAGTGTTTACATTATTCCAAACGGTCAGAACATTTATATTGATTATGTTGTAATCTAACAGCACCTGTTAGGCACACATAATATGCACGCAGCGTTTACTCCTTACCTTTTTCTTGATCTCCAGTATTTTCCAATTTGTTCTACACATCTGACTTCCCCTTTTCCTCCTGAGCAACCAGTAAACATTCCCTCGTTTCGAGTTTTTGTTACGTCCTCTGCATCCATTTTGCTTTCACATGTGTTACGTTGTTCAGAGTTTGTTATAACCAATTTATTGATGTGGTTATAATATGCTGTAGGTCCTATTGGTGACGTGCATGCACTGCATACATGTGTGAGGGTTAAGGGAATAGGGAATGTTTTTCCTAAACAAATTAGGGATTTCGGTAACATAACTTTTCAGTCAGAAATGGCTGTGATTATGTTGCATCTTCAACAACACGGACAGCGCCATAAACACTGTTGATGTTCTGTGGTGGTCACTGCAGCAGGGAGGAGAGAGAGACAACGGGTGCTAGTCAGTCACTCGCTGTCTTTTTTTTTTTTTGGGGACAGCGCAGCAAGTCTGAGCCAGGCGGCACAATCAAATAAATTGCAGTCGGACTCCCTCTAGTCATTTGTCTTAATTATTATATCAAACAGTGCGCTTAAAGCGTCAGACAAGCTCAGTGCATATAGTTGATTTGATTAAAACACATAGGATGTGTCTATATATGGAAAAATACACGTTTTAAAAATTTCGACCAAAAGAACAGACGACTCTTGGTTTTTTTCTTTGTCGGGGACAGCCTTAACATCAATCAATGTTAGTGGTGGGCTGGAGCAAAAGCCAGGACATCATGTAGCACCATGTGACTGCTTTATTTGGACTGACCTATGGGAATGTTGTAAACCCTCTCCCTCCCTTAAGGCCTTTCCTTCAGCAGCAGCGTCTCTACTTTGTGTTTGCCAACATGCTGAGCTCTGTGTCGGCCTGGCTGGTCATCATCCTCCTCATCCTGCTCAGCCTGCTGCCTGAGATCCTGCTGCTGGTCCTCCGCAAGCCCCGCGGGCCCCACTCACGACAGGTACTGTCCACACACGCACAGATACCGTATCGTTTTAATGTTAAAGCAGAAAGCAACTGTTCAAAACACTTCATAGTAGTTTTCCTGTGTTCATATCCTTCATAATTTCTACGGGCTATAACTTGTCCTTTATGCGTCAGTGCACTGAGGCGACGTTCAGACGTCCCTGTATTTCTGTTTATGGATCATAACCATCTTTGTTTCAAGTTATAATTAATATTTTGTCCTTGAAAGTAGCCTTTTGTCTCCAAGAAGTCTTGGTCATGCTTGACGGAGCCCGTTGCTCTAAACATACATTAAAGAGCTCCTCCATAGCGGTCTGATTTGTGATGTTGATATGGATGGAGATCAGAGGAATAATCAAATTTGCCCCAATCTCCCTTCTGAGGCTAGTATCCCCTGGTATAGTCTGTCACTCAATTAACTCCCCATAACGCAAATTAGTTTTCCTTCAAAGTATTAGGAATGGTGTGATGACTCATAATTTGGTTATATGAAATCCATCGATTTTGATTTTTCAACAAAAATATCCCACTACAAATGCTTATTTTTTGTACGGCCGATAAATGTAAATGTTTGACAACCTCATAATGATTTTCAGAATTTTCATGAGACCAGATTAAAAGGTGTCAGACACACACACTGGGTGGGGCAGCTATTTGTGCACAATGGAACTCATTGTCTTTCTCTTCTGTGGTTCAAATACATTTTATAAAATATTTATCAATATTTATATTTAGGTTGTTTTTGCTCTCAGGTAAACAAAAAAAACTGGTTTGATATTACATTAATTCAGACCAAGAAAGGTTACATTTAACCCACAATACCAATACTCTTCTAAAGGCAAGAGTCTAACCTGATACCATTGAGGAAAGTGGTTGAAAGCTATAGGGTCTCGGCAAAGGCCAACACTTACCCCACCCCAGAGCTATATATATATTTTGTTGATGGGAGAGAGACAATTCCTTACGAAATGACCCGCTGTAAACAAGCAAAACAGAGCAGTGAATTTAAGATGTTTTTATTGATTAGCATTCAACATAATGTGTATCCAAGTCTGTACTGTGATGTGAATAATTTCAGCCCTGCTAGAGCTGTCCCGGTCAACTGTAAGTGCTGTTATTGTGAAGTAGAAACATTTAGGAGCAACAACAGCTCAGCTGTGAAGTGGTAGGCCACACAAGCACACAGAATGGGACCACCGAGTGCTGAAGCACGTAGCGCGTAAAAATCATCTGTCTTCGTTTGCAACACTCACTACCCAGTTCCAAACTGCCTCTGGAAGCAACCTCGGCACAAGAACTGTTCATCGGGAGCTTCATGAAATGGGTTTCCATGGCCATGCGCAATGCCAAGCGTCGCCTGGAGTGGTGTAAAGCTCGCCGCCATTGGACTCTGGAGCAGTGGAAATACGTTTTCTGCAGTGATGAACTCTTCACCATCTGGCATTCTGACGGACTAATCTGGAGGGTTAATATATTATTAATTTGGGGGGTGATTATATTTGCCCTGTTACACAGTTGTACGTTTCTTGCATATCCCAACTCCCCTTGAGACACCCACAGCGCCCCTGGAGAAATTAGGGTTAAGTGCCTTGTTTAATGGCACAGCGACAAGAGTTTTCACCATACCGGCTCCGGTATTCGAACCAGCAACCTTTTGGTTAATGGCCCAACGCTCGAGGCTACCTGCCGCCCCTAAATATCACTATGCCCCACCCTAACTAAATGCTGTCTCTTTAACTCTACTTCTCTGTATTAATACATTCTCTACAGTCTCGCTCTCCCTCTCTCACTTCTTCTTATTGCCTCTTCTGTTTCTCCCTTTCTGTCCTGCCTGCTTTGCTGCAGATCAAGCAACGGCTTCCTTCGTCGGGGACGTCCACTATCTTCATGCTGTCGCAGACCGCCAGTACTCACAGCTTCTCCTGGAGTGACTGAGGTCTCTCTCTGCCTGCTTTTTCCCTTTACCGCCTCTCCTCTTCACTCCTCCTTTTACCCCACTCTCCTCATTTTACCGCTCCTCTCCTCCTTTTACCCTCTCTCACCTCCCTTTACCTTCTCTCTCCTCTCCTCCTATCTGTCCTGTACTGCTTGTCCTTCTTCCTTTAACATCCAGCATCCACCCTCCCTTGATTGACCATTCTAGAGGTTCCTTGTTCAGTTCATGGTGAGGTTAAAGAGACGCTACCTTTGAAGGTTCTACCACCTTCTAGACTGGGTGGTACATTTTTGTTATGTCAGGATAATTTGAGAATGCTTATGTAAATGCTGGGTTGCCCAATGCCCAGCCATCTGTCACTTCCCCAGCAATTGTGGTTTTTGGTTTGTTGCTGCAGCGTTGGTCCTATGTCTTCTTCAGTATGTCTGAGTGCATCAGTCATTGTGTCTTACCTGCCTGTGCTGCCACTGTGTCTACAGTCTCTGCATGCCTGTCCAGGTGAATGCAGCACGCAAACACATGAGGTTAACCTGCATGCCAGCGTGCCCCAGACTCCAGCCAACCCCATACCCTGGACCCCACCACAACCGCAGTGGGCCACTACAGATATTTCTGGGTGGTTGTGTGTTGCTCTGAATGTGTCTGTTTTTAATCATACCTTTTTATAGTGAAAGTCACCAAATGCCTCAAAGGATATTTGAAGTATTTGGATGGCTGTACCAATAATGTGTATTAGTCCGTTAAGATGGCTTTGTGTTTACTTTAAATAACACAACATTAAGTACAATGAGAGCTTTCTAAAACATTGACCCTCCTGGGTAGAGGAGAGCGAATTCACCAAGGAGAGTGTGTGTTTAAACTACATTACATTGTCCACCTTCTGTCTCAAGTGTGTATGTGTCTGTCTGTCAGCACGAGGTGCCATTAGTGTCTCTTGCCTCACCCTTTCAGAAGAAGCTGGTGGTTCTGTCGGGCGAGGGGGAAACCCAGTCTCCCCGGTCTACAGCCAGGCCCCTGCTCATGCAAACCTTTTCAGACGAGTCCAATACTATCCTATGAACAGGTACTAACCCCAACTCTGCCCCTAAGTTAAAACAATCAAATACCCCCCAAAAGAAACCCTTTAGCAGTCTAGATCTGCCGGGGCCCATTACTCTTTAACTGTAACTAGAATCCAGTATTCTACTCCAAATCCTGCTTTCCGTGCCTTCAATATGTAAGATCCTCTTTTAAGAACTTGGTTCAGCCCTCTAACGGCGACCGTAACCCATACTTCCTGTGTGCTAAGCTCTTATTGGTTGGCTGAAAAGTGTGTTTGTCATAATGGCTGCTTCATATTTTTGCTTGTGAAATATGTACATACATTCTTATGGACAAAGATTTAGATTAACATTTCACTTGCCGAATGAATAAATTGGTGTCAGAAGGGGGAGCCTTTTCCAATATGATGCACTAAGCCAGGACAGTGAATGCTCCTTTCAGCCTCCCAGTAGATGACCAGCTCATTGTGGCCTTGCATGTGGTCTTTAATGATTTCTAGTTACCCTTTTGACTAAGTATCGAGTCCGTTGTGGAATGGGGATTAATCGGTCTCATCAGTGTGTGTGTGTGTGTGTGAATGTGAGTAAGTCTGTTCTGTTTCTTTTGCCTCTTTATTCGTAATGAAATATTGCAGACCTCATAATCTGCCTTTTTTATTCTCCCCTTATGGCGTTGTCATTTATGTGGTGGTTGTGGTATTCCCCCCCTCCCCCAGTTGCATGTGCAATGTACTGCTTGTGTGTCACTGGCATCTTGTGTTTTCCATTTGCAAGTACTGCATTTTATGTTAAGCTTTTCCTTTGTCAGATAGAATGTTGCTCTTACTATGTCAAAATGAACTGACCGTTGCCTGGGGTGAATGTGGTTGGGTTCCATTCAGGGCTCTAAAGTGCGACCATTTTGGTCCAATATGCTCCCAAATATTTTGCTGTGCGACCTGACATTTTAATTTGGGAGCACCAGAGCGACTACAAAAATATCAGCGGATTATAATTGTTGTAATGATTAAAGGAAAGGCGATACCTAGTCAGTTACACAACTGAATGCATTCAACCGAAATGTGTCTTCAGCATTTAACCCAACTCATCTGAATCAGAGAGGTGCGGGGGGGTGCCTTAATCGACGTCCACGTCATTGGCGCCCGGGGAGCAGTTATTGTGGGGGTTAACTGCCTTGCTCAAGGGCAGAACGGCCGATTATACAGCTCGAACCGCAAGGCTACCTGCCGCCCCTTCGCTGTTTCCGAGTGCCCTAGATAAAAAAGCGAGTGCAGATTCCTGACCGTGGTGGTTGCACCATTACTACAGAGAACTGCTTGTCTGTAGCCCAAACCGTTCGAAACTTGTGACCGTATTACCGGCGCTACGTTTTTTTGGTGGGACGCATTTTACATTAATAAACCATGTCGCGGGGCGGTAACACCTTGTTCAATCATGTTACCTCATTAGGTAGCTAGCTAGCTAACAACCTGGTAACTTTACCAGTATATCTAAACATTTGATGGCACAGAAAGAATAGTAAAGGGAGAGCTTTTTCAAGAGATCAGTGATCATCATAGCAATGAATGACTGATTTGCATGTCACGCGCATCTTGAAATTATTAAAGAGACGGGGTACCGGCATTTAATGTAATGCATCTCAAATAGGAAACAGCGCTTTTTACACAATGTAGAAAACTAATAGTCCACAAATTACTTTGTAATTTCAATGACAGGTATTTCTGTCAACATTTCAGCTTTTATAATAAACAAATGTCTTAACAGTGTTAGATATTACTTTCTAGGGTACAAAATGTGCTTCAAAAGTACCTAGAATTCATAAAGGGCCAATAAAGGCTGTATCTCAATCTATTTTTAAATTACATTTTCTGGTGCTCCTAAATTTTATGTGCTGCTCCTAACTTTTTTAAATTGGGAGCACCAGTGCTACCAATGTACAATGCTAATTTAGAGCCCTGGTTCTATTAATTGTAAAGGCTGGGTTAACACCAGGCTTTATGCTCACATCCATCACCTGTATTTAACCTGCTTCTCTATTCTTCCCAGCCTTCAGAGGACTCCCTCCTAAAAACATTCAGGTAAAACAAGGGCTAATCTCACATGTCTAAATCCTTGGCTCTAGCCTCATGGTCTTCTTGGGTTTCATAGACTTCTAGAATCATTGGGATGATCACATGAAGTCAGAGCAGTAGACATTCTATGATTTGATTTCAGCTGATCTCTGTTTTCAGGGGAGGTGTGTCCAATCGATTGTATTTGGGGGTATGTGGTCAATTCCATCTGATTTTGGGGGACAACATTTAATGGTGTCTGTGTCATGGTGCTACTCTGTGTTGGGACCTTCCAGTGGTTGGCATTTGGCAGGAGCAGGGTTCTGTCTATAAAGTTGACTGACTTCTGTCTCTGTGTGTTTGTCCTCTCCAGATCGCTGCCATCACGCCCTTGTCCTACAAGCACCTGATCGGGCAGGAGTGAAGGGCAGAAAGGAGGAGCAACTACACTGCGGCCAGTGTCTTTCAGGCCCCCATGTCAGTCAGGTTGACTGCCTGCACTTTTGCCTGATCTAAAAAGAAAATCGAAATCGCTAGAAGAGCCAGGGGTGGACTCCACTGTCCCCCTGCTCTCTCCGTCCTTCCCCTCTTCCTGTTTCCCTCTGCATGTCTGCAGAGAACTGCACCACCGGCCCACGCAGCACAGGCCATTTTTACCATGTTTTTACTGCACTGTTCAGACAGGAGGCATGAGTTTCCGCTGTTTATTTTTCTTTCCTTTCTTGAATTCTTGCTTAACAAATGTAAATGAAAAGGCTGCCTTGTCAGTAGTACTACTAAGATCTGCTGTGTTGTAACATGCAGCAACACCTCCACTGTCCCAGAATGATTCATCTGCATGAAACAAAGGAGGCTCCATGAATGCCACATTCCACTTGTTATTTCTTGTGTGTTTAGGTCAAGGTTTGTTAAAAAATATATCTATATAAATGTTACTTAACTTTCTGAAGCAAAGATTCTACAGTTCCAGGTCCAAATCATAGTTTATAAGTTACATGATTCCAGTCAAGTCCAGGGCAAAAGAGAGCATGTTCGCTCAGTGCAGACTACACTGCACACAGGTTACTGAATATCTTGAGGAAAAAAAAGTGCATTGGATACTGAGAAGGGAGGGTTTAGAGACACAGCCCCCTACTGGGTTAAGGGAGGGTTTAGAGGCACAGCCCCCTACTGGTTAAAGGGAGGGTTTAGAGGCACAGCCCCCTACTGGGTTAAGGGAGGGTTTAGAGGTACAGCCCCCTACTGGGTTAAGGGAGGGTTTAGAGGTACAGCCCCCTACTGGGTTAAGGGTGGGTTTAGAGGCACAGCCCCCTACTGGGTTAAGGGAGGGTTTAGAGGCACAGCCCCCTACTGGGTTAAGGGTGGGTTTAGAGGTACAGCCCCCTACTGGTTGAAGGGAGGGTTTAGAGACACAGCCCCCTACTGGTTAAAGGGAGGGTTCAGAGGCACAGCCCCCTACTGGGTTAAGGGTGGGTTTAGAGGCACAGCCCCCTACTGGTTAAAGGGAGGGTTCAGAGGCACAGCCCCCTACTGGGTTAAGGGTGGGTTTAGAGGCACAGCCCCCTACTGGGTTAAGGGTGGGTTTAGAGGTACAGCCCCCTACTGGTTAAAGGGAGGGTTCAGAGGCACAGCCCCCTACTGGGTTAAGGGAGGGTTTAGAGGCACAGCCCCCTACTGGGTTAAGGGAGGGTTTAGAGGCACAGCCCCCTACTGGTTAAAGGGAGGGTTTAGAGGCACAGCTCCCTACTGGTTGAAGGGAGGGTTTGGAGACACAGCTCCCTACTGGTTGAAGGGAGGGTTTGGAGACACAGCCCCCTACTGGTTAAAGGGAGGGTTAAGAGGCACAGCCCCCTACTGGGTTAAGGGAGGGTTAAGAGGCACAGCCCCCTACTGGTTAAAGGGAGGGTTTAGAGGTACAGCCCCCTACTGGGTTAAGGGTGGGTTTAGAGGTACAGCCCCCTACTGGGTTAAGGGAGGGTTTAGAGGTACAGCCCCCTACTGGTTAAGGGAGGGTTTAGAGGTACAGCCCCCTACTGGGTTAAGGGTGGGTTTAGAGGTACAGCCCCCTACTGGGTTAAGGGTGGGTTTAGAGGCACAGCCCCCTACTGGGTTAAGTCTCCATTTTCCCAAAAAGTGTGTATGTGATTTAATCAAAATGACTGGTAATGAGTTGTGCTTGCCAACATTTCTACCTGGTTCCGTGTTTGGAGCATGACATGTATCTTCCAAGCAGAAGGCCGGACATGAGTCTTCGAAGGCCGGTGATAATATAAGAAAATCCCAATTGGATTGAGAAAATTATTACATGTGATGTAGTTATAGATCTTAACCTGTTTGAATGCCTAATGCTTGAAGCCAAAAAATGTGTCTGAGCTGGGGAGATGCAAGTGTCATGCCCAGCACCGTCCAAATGATTGCAAAATATGTTGCTGAGAGTGTGAGCAAGTTGTTTGTGTGTGCGCGTTTGTCATGCATCTGTTACCCAGCAGCACAGCTGTTCTGGATTGGAACGATGGCCTAAAAAGCAACCTTTTTGTTACATTAAGAAACGTACAGCTTTTAACAGGAATACCTGTAGCTACCTTGTAGATTAGCACGTGGTTGTCATGACCTGTCCTCGAAAGGACTTCAGGAGTTCTGTGGATTTTCCTTTGGGCATGTGGGCACAAAGGCACATTTGTCATATGCCGAAACACACATGCATAATGCGCACACACCTACGCATTCACAAATGCGCACATGCACTAAAAGTCTAAAATGAGGTATCTATGTCCCATTACCAGTTAGTGTTTGTCAAAGATGGGCTGACGTTGGTGGGTAAAGATCCCAACTCCAGACTTTCTCTTGTCAGTTAATGCGACTGTGAGGCTTTCTACCCACCTGCTTACCTTTCATCAACAACCATATCCATTTACCATATCTGAGATGGGTTTCTTACTGACTTCTAGCGTTAGTGCTTCATACATTCCATT